ACAGGCCAAGTGCTGTTAGCGAGCGCCTATAAAGATCGGCGCGACGCATGTGTCCAAGGCTTGCCACGTTAAATACAATCGGAGCGGAGTGGTGCTGAAACGGACAGCGACCGTCTACTGCTGACGCGAGCCCGGCTCAGGGCCAGAATGAGAAGGAGCTTCCGCGGATTTCTATTTCATATCAATCCACTTTAGAATCGAGTTAAAGGAAATGGTGGCGACGGGAGTGTTACGGACGAACGGCATTTATAATCATTATAATAATGAAAACGCATGTTTCTAAAAGAGGAGGAAAAACCCGGAGGACCCGGACAAAACCCTACACGACCACGGGAGAGAGAGAGAGACATGCAAACCGCAAATATACAGCAGCAGGCGTCAGGCTCGGGATCGAGCCCACGACCTCCTGCATACCAGGCGAGGTAGTTAACATCTCCTAGCCACCGTGATGTTGATCAGAGAGAGAGAGAGACCTGCAAACCGCAAATATACAGCAGCAGGCGTCAGGTTCGGGATCAAGCCCACGACCTCCTGCATACCAGGCGAGGTAGTTAACATCTCCTAGCCACCGTGATGTTGATCAAAGAGAGAGACACGCAAACTCCAAATATACAGCAGCAGGCGTCAGGCTCGGGATCGAGCCCACGACCTCCTGCATACCAGGCGAGGTAGTTAACATCTCCTAGCCACCGTGATGTTGATCAGAGAGAGAGACACGCAAACTCCAAATATACAACAGCAGGCGTCAGGCTCGGGATCGAGCCCACGACCTCCTGCATACCAGGCGAGGTAGTTAACATCTCCTAGCCACCGTGATGTTGATGATGAGAGAGAGAGACACGCAAACTCCAAATATACAACAGCAGGCGTCAGGCTCGGGATCGAGCCCACGACCTCCTGCATACCAGGCGAGGTAGTTAACATCTCCTAGCCACCGTGATGTTGATGATGAGAGAGAGAGACACGCAAACTCCAAATATACAGCAGCAGGCGTCAGGCTCGGGATCGAGCCCACGACCTCCTGCATACCAGGCGAGGTAGTTAACATCTCCTAGCCACCGTGATGTTGATCAAAGAGAGAGACACGCAAACTCCAAATATACAGCAGCAGGCGTCAGGCTCGGGATCGAGCCCACGACCTCCTGCATACCAGGCGAGGTAGTTAACATCTCCTAGCCACCGTGATGTTGATCAAAGAGAGAGACACGCAAACTCCAAATATACAGCAGCAGGCGTCAGGCTCTGGATCAAGTCCACGACCTCCTGCATACCAGGCGAGGTAGTTAACATCTCCTAGCCACCGTGATGTTGATCAAAGAGAGAGACACGCAAACTCCAAATATACAGCAGCAGGCGTCAGGCTCTGGATCAAGTCCACGACCTCCTGCATACCAGGCGAGGTAGTTAACATCTCACTACCGACGCGCCCAATCAGTCGTAGTATGACGACTCCGTTGCCCGGCTGACAAACACGAAGGATGCATCGTCACAGCCGTGATTCACGCACCACTCTGCTGCTCCCGACGCGATCATCTGGGCTCAACCACCTCGGCGTTCAACGATAGCCTTAGCTCTACTCCGACGTCAGCCATACAAAGCGGACGTTAGCATCAAATCAATATTACCCCCTTACATCCATCAAATCGGGGTTCTCCACAGCAAAATTACCTTATATCATGGGCTTCAAACAAAGGTGTTCAAGAGTTAACATCACAAAATGTAGGGCAGTGGGTAACTGATTTTAGGTTAACTAATTTGATGAAGTACCCCAGCAGATGCGTAAGAGGTGGTGGGGCCGTGGGAAGACCTTCATTGCACAGTGGAAACACAACAGCTGCTGATGATGATTATGATTACATTTATAAAACAAGAACGGAGAATTGCTCGTGATGACACGACCCACTGATACAGTCCTTTACAGTAATCACAAGACTACAATTACGAATGGCCTACCCATGGTGAGCAGTAGGAGGGGGGGGGGGGGGTGCGTGAATGTGTGTGTGTGTGCGTGTTAGTTGCTAGCAAATAGCACTTGCCCCAACAGTCTGTTAGGCTGTATGGTGGGTTCATTGCATTTGTCTTGCAGTGGGGAGCGGTGGTGTAGCAGTTAGCGCCCTGCGCTTCAAGACCAGAAACGCGAGTTTGATTTGCACTCACGGCCGACACAAAGTGACGATTATCTGAACTCGGTTCTGGGCCTCTACTAGATCGACTCGGCCTCAAATGAGTATCTAGTGCCGTGTGTTTCAACAAAAAAAAACATCGCCACTAGGTGAGACAAAGGCGTCCGGATGTGGTGCTGGCCACCCACCCCTTCGTGTGCCGTGCCGGCCTTCCTAGGTACTACTCGCTAACAGCACTTGCCCCAACAGTTCGTTAAGGCTACACGGCGGAGAGAGGGGGGGGGATCTTTTTCACAGTGACACATCCCTGCCCGAAGATCATTACCACCCAAGTTCGATTGCCGAACACGCACAACCATCACCAGTGGTGGCAAGCGCGATCAAAACCTGTTGCTTGGGCTTCCTCTCGATTCACTCGGCCCGAACTGAGTGTCCGATGGGCTGTTCGCGAATAACAGCACGCGGGAGACAAATTTAATCGTGCGGTGATGTTCGCCACACAACTTTTTGGTTTTGTGCCCGGCCTTAATAGGTGCTCGCTAACAGCACTGGACCCAACGCTCTGCATGGCCATGCGAGGAATCTCCGTTTACGAGTTGCGAGCATGTTGTGTGCGCTGTACAGAATGCGTGCACGCATGTACTGTGTGTTGGACTTTTTTCCCGCCGTACGTAGCCAACCGTGCTCATCGGAGGTGCGGGAAATTACCGGAGTGGTGCGATTCTAAATGAAGGCCACCGGCAAAAGAGATGTGCGTGGAGACGTGCATGCATTTACGTTTACATAGTTGAGATTAGCAAACGAATATGTAAATCAGAGATCACCAGTGGTGGGGGTAGTCTCGCTCACTGTGCCGTGACAACATTGAATCATGATACTCATGTCTGCTGCGCTGGATAACTCCACGTGGACCTTATTAAAACATTTATTTACCCAAGGGATTGCGACATTTCAATATTTTTTTTTTACAAATCAACACGTGTCGGCATTTGTAGGCAGCAGGCATTTAACCGCACTTGCCTGCCACTAAAACTGCTAATTATTTTATTTTCTGTTTAACCGGAAAAAACATTCGCTGAGTCTTGACACAACATTTCAAGAGACTCCTGTCACATGAGGACGGTTGGCCAATTACACATGGCTCTGTGTGCTTGGATTCGCGTGGCATGAAATAAAACGATGAAGTACACAGAGCAAACCGAGACATGGGAATTGGGTGCCACTCGACGTTTTGCACAGACAGATTCAAGAATCCCCATTGCTGGTACCGCTGGCAGGCATGTCCTCGCCACCGAGAGCAGCCCACAACTACAACTGGCACCTCCAGCCAGTCTCAATCCGAATCGTAACCAACCTCAGCCCTGCTTAGCTTCCCAGAGCGGGGTGTATTGAAGGTGAATTTGGTGAACATTGTTGGCTCGGTTCCCGTCATAAATCCGCATAGTAAAAAAAAAAATCTACTTAGGATTAGCAACATCGGAAAATTGATTGTTGTTACTTTCTGCTCCAGCGCACAGCGCCGTCTGCTGATAAGTAGGTGTCAAATACCTCCCGCGCGAATCCCGCACGGGCAAATCGCCGCCATGCATTTGCAGATAACAAACGTACGCATAACACGTTACATGTGTGTGGTGTGTGTGGTGTGTGTGTGTGTGGTGTGTGCGGTTAGCGCGCTACGCTATGAACCCGGCGACCCCGGTTCGTTTATCGCCCACGGCCAACACCAGTGACGATTATCTGAACCGGTACTGGGCCTCCCCTAGGTTGACTCCGCCTCAAATGAGTAGCTGGTGGTGTGTATGTGGTGTGTGTGTCTTGTGTGTGGTGTTTGTGGTGTGTATGTGTGTGGTGTGTGTGTGTGGTGTGTGTGGTGTGTGTGTGGTGTGTATGTGTGTGTGGTGTGTATGTGTGTGGTGTGTGTGTGGTGTGTGTGGTGTGTGTGTGGTGTGTATGTGTGTGTGGTGTGTATGTGTGTGTGGTGTGTGTGTGGTGTGTGTGTGTGTGGTGTGTGTGTGGTGTGTATGTGTGGTGTGTATGTGTGTGTGGTGTGCGTGAGGTGTGTGTGCGGTGTGTGTGGTGTGTATGTGTGTGTGTGTGGTGTGTGTGTGGTGTGTGTGTGGTGTGTGTGGTGTGTGTATGTGGTGTGTATGTGTGTGTATGTGTGTGTGGTGTGCGTGAGGTGTGTGTGCGGTGTGTGTGGTGTGTATGTGTGTGTGGTGTGTGTGTGTATGTGGTGTGTGTGTGGTGTGTGTGTATGTGGTGTGTGTGTGTGTGTGGTGTGCGTGGTGCGTGTGTGTAACTCGACTGAGCAGGGGAGACGGGTCAGTCTATCCGTCTCGCGTAAATGCGTCACGAATGTCCACGTGGGGGGGGGGGGCATCGCCTCGGCCCCCCACCGAGGCGCGGCGCGAGCCACCGGCCGCTTGCAAAACGCCGCACGGGCGGGCAGCACCCCCCCCCCCCCCCATCCCCTCCCAGCTTGAATCTCAGAGGACTCCCAACCGGCACGAACATCCCGAACCGGCACTGGACACCGGGCATCATCCACAACAACAACAACATCATCATCATCATCGTGACAACAGCAACAAGAACAATCATAGCAGCGACAGCCAGGGCTGCGCCCTCCACGCTGGGCACGCGCACAGCGAGCCACGTGGGACCCCCCCGTGCCGACAACCGTGACGACGCGACGGCTCACCACCCCCCCCCCCCCACACCCCCACCACCAATGCGTGCCGGCCATTCACATCGCTCACCGTGGAAAGCCGTCTTTGTATCCCTTGGCCGTGCGGAATTGCGCGGCTTCTCCTGCTTGCTTGCCTGCCTGCCGCTGTTTGCTACTGCAGCGGGCGTCCCGAGGGGGCCAAAGGATACACTCGCAAGGCGCCTCCGTGCGTCCCTACCGCCAGGATCTTCTGCACCGGGTCGAAGGCGAGCGCCGTGGGTTGATGCGGGAATCCGTGTCTCACCGTCTACGGCCGCGTGCCGTGAACAAGAACGTTTAAGGGGACGTCAACACAGAGGAAGAGAGAGCCTAGGGCAGCCACCACCGACTCCCTCACCCCCCCCACTCCCAAAGAGGACAACTGCGAGGACCGGCGGTGATTAATGCGCGTGCGTTTCTGCCGGATGCTTGCTGAGGCTAAGTGCACTGTTACACCGCAGGGAGGCCTTCGTCCAGCAGTGGATTGATCATGGCTGACGGCGACGCGTCCCCAACCGGCGATTGTGATGAAATATGCAGAGGGGGTTGAAGGTCAGTCGGCCGAAACGTCGATATTTCGCTTTTGCTAAGGATCACCTATTAACGGCTGTTCAACTGACGAGCAGCTGCTGTCCGCGGTACGGGCTCATCGAAGGCGCAGTGTTGGCGACGGCGACTAATCGAATGGCGCTCCGCGTGCCTTCGTCGTGGCGATCACGCTAAAAATACGGGAGAGTAGAACCTGCGTGTGTGTGTGTGTGCCTGTGTGTGTGTCTGTGTGGGTTTAACCTGCAGGCTGGATTGTGTGAGGAGCTCACAAATCCTTGAAAGATCTGGGCAAGGTCCCATCGGTGAGCTCCTCCGGCAGGCAAGGCTGCGATGGCTGGGTCATGTAGCCCGCATGCCCAGCCACCGAATGCCGAAACAGCTTTTGTTCGGTCGGATCGAGGGGGCTAAGCGGGCGCGGCACGGGCTAGAGAAGAGATGGAGTGATGTGGTACAGGAGGACGTGGAGCTGAGTGGACTTGCCGATGACTGGTACCAGCGGTGTCAAGATCGGCCTCTGTGGAGGAGGCTCGTGAAGGACGCTACTGGGCAGCTGGAGGCAGTCGCCCTCCAACAACAACAACGGAGGGCGGAGGAGCGACGCTCACAACAACGAGCGGAGCGCCGGGTGGCTAAGCACAGCAGGTTGCCACAGTAGGGGGCACAGGTGGTGCATCAGCCAGTCATCTCAGTCAGTCGACCCGTGGCACCTGGGTCTGCCCCGTGACCTCCTGCCAGCGGGCGTTCGACACTTCACGTGGCCTCAGGGTGCACATATCCTGGCACAAGCGTCGTGGTGACGTCACCGTCACTTAGTGGCGAATAGCGGTTGTTGTTGTTGCGTGTGACTGTGTGTGTCTGTGTGTGTGTGTGTGACTGTGTGCGTGACTGTGTGTGTGACTGTGTGTGTGTCTGTGTGTGTGTCTGTATGTGGGGAGCGATAGTGTAGCGGTTAGCTCGCTGCGCTATGAGCCTGGCGACCCGGGTTCGATTCCCGCTCACGGCCAACACCAGTGACGATTATTTGAACCGGTCCCGGCCCTCCCCTAGGTCGACTCAGCCTCAAATGAGTACCTGGTGCGGTGTGTAAACATTGCCACTAAGGAGATAAAGGCGGTCGGGCATGGTGCTGGCCACCCACCCCCTCGTGTACCGTTCGGGCCTTCATAGGTGCTCGCTAACAGCTCTTGCCCCTACAGTCAGTTTAGGCTATACGGGGGATCTTTGTTTTGTGTCTGTGTCTGTGCGTCAAGTATCTGCGCCGTGATGCAGGGCACGGCTTGGCGAGGGCCACCGCCGCGAGCTCCGCACAAATCCTCGCCACCTCGGGCGCGCGCTGCCCGGCCACTTCAATTGTCCTCGAAATTACGTTTCGTTTTTTTTCGTGTCGTTGGCGAATAAACCAAAAATAAAAACAATGTGGCACGATACGGCACTTTGATGCGAGTTCATTGGTTCCGCCCGTCCTCGGGCGGGTGTGGGGGAACTGTGGCGCAGCGGTTAGCGCAATGCGATGCTGAGAATCCGGACGAATCCGAGTTCAATTCCCCCGAGCACGGCCAAAGATCCGTGGCGCCAAGCCATCTTATCCAAATCGCTTGTGGCCGGCGTGGTCAAAGACTGCTCCCTCCCCATCGTCCAGGAGCGGATTGCCAGAGCGCAGTCTCTCCATGATTATTTGCGATTATAATTTTTCAACCAAAACAAAACATCGTCGCCTATTTTATATGTTGATAGTTTCCCTGCGAAGGCTACGCACGGGCCTAATTATTGGTGAGCGTGTTGAGTGATTTTTGTTGTTATTTGTGCTTTGTGCACCACCCCTGCCAACGCAGCAGCAGCACCACCCAAATAATTCGTGATAATTTCTGTTTTACTTACTTGCTCTTAGAACTCTACTCGGCTGTGAATGAGCGTTACTCGTATGGGGCTTGCGGCATTGAGGTGCGCGTGCGTCTTCGCGCGCGCGTGCACGGGAGAGCGGTGGCGCAAGCGGTCAGCGCGCTGCACTGCAACCCCGGCGAGACGAGTTTGATTCCCGCTCACGGCCAACCAACACCGCTGGCGATTAATCTGAACCGGTTCTGGCCTTCCCCTAGGTCGACTCGGCCTCAAATGAGTACCTGGTGCAGTGTTTAAAAGAAAACATCGCCACTAGGGGAGACAAAGGCGGCCGGGCGTGGTGGTGGGTCACCCATCCATTCGTGTGCCGTGCCGGCCTTCGTAAGTGCTACTCGCGAACAGCAGCTGCACCCAACAGTCTGCTAAAGGCTACATGGGGTGATCGTTGTCTTTGTCAGTATATACAAATGCGTGTGTACGCGCGTGTGTGTGTGTACGTGTGTGTGTACGCGTGTGTGTACGCGTGTACGCGTGTGTGTGTGTCTCGCGTTATCGTTCACCTTTGATACTTGGAAGTGTTCGGAGGCGAGGCTCTCCGCGATCTCGCTCTCGGGCTTGCTGGGGCTCTGCGGGGCTCCCGGCGTGGTGAGGCCGTCCAGCACCTTGCGGAAATTGTCCGTGAAGCGCTTCATGGCGACAACGGCGAAGAGCGGGCGGCGGGGCGCAAGAGAGATTCGCCGTCGGCCGCAATAATTTTGAACCCGTTTTTCTCTTTATGTGGGGGGGGGGGGACTGTGGAGGGTTCCGAGGATATTTAAAAGGGGGGAGGGGGTGGGATAAATAAACAAGCAATTCCCCTTTTAATTCGACTACATCGGAGCGTGGCAAGTGCCGTCCCTCCTACTCCTCCTCTCCCCTCCGCTTCCTCTCTTGTAAGCTATTCGCCTCTCCCTTGTAGTAGTAACACGCGCACGGAAGACGAACGCGCGAGATGACCGTCCGTGCTCGTCTCGCCCCTCTTTCTCTGTCTCTCTAACCCCGCTCGCGCGCGTCAAAGGCGAGCAGTGCGCTCCGTTCTCTCTCCCTGAGCACTTCCCAGCCCGTCCGCCTCCCTCCCTTTCCCCTCTCGCCGTGTCGCTCCGGCGCCTCTGTCGCGCTCGCTTTATGCCGTGCACGCTGGGCGCGAGAGAGAGAGGGAGAGGGAGGGAGGGAGAGCGGTGGGTTGTTCAACCAAACCGCACGCCTCGCTCGTCATCCGCAAAACCCATCCCCTTCATCCCCCCCCCCCCAATTGGGTAGCAATGGGTCGAGCTGGGCCCCCACCACCTCACCACCCCACACCACTGCGAGAGACGAAGAGGAGGAGGAGGGAGGAGGAGGGGGGTTGATCTCCCTCGTGTTATGCGCATTGCCACCACGGGTGCGCGCTCTGCACCGGCTGCGTCTTGCGGATGACGGTGACGATGGCGTTCGAACACGTTCAGCGGACGGATGGCACATGTCGAGAGCGGGGTCTGCTCATTACTCCTCGATTGGAACTGATGCATCGCAATCATCGCCACCCCCTTCTCCCGCCCTCCCCTGCTGGCAAGACTAACACAGCGAGGTCCCTCTAGCAACACGAGACGCAGCGCTCTCTCTCTCTTTCTCTCGAGCTCTCTTCCTCCTTGAGACGACGTCGACGTGAAGGAGCAGAGAGGCGCGCGCGCGCGCGGTGTTGTGCATTCGATTCCGTCCTTGCGTATGATGGCAAACACGTTCAGCAGCTCATGCCAACGCCCGCAGACAGCTGCCCGTGATCGCCACGGTCGTTGTCGCTGGTGGCGACCGTTCGCCCGGCGCGGCAGTTGAAGCGATGGGGCGAGGCGTGTACTGTATAGCCACCTACCGCTCACTGCCTCTCTTCACTCAGCACCCAGAATCAGAATCAAAATATGTATTTATATCGGAGGAATCCGCTGTGCTATGGAGCTCTATTATTTTTTAATATGCCCAATATAGCTGGGTACTTATGCCACATTTACTCTGTTGGCCCATGGTCGCGTAGCGATGGGACAGGGTGTGGGCAAGCCCACCTCTTCCAAGTCGGGTTGCCAACCGTCCCGGATTGACCGGGAGAATCGACGGGGATATGGCATCGATTTCCCGGTGACGATTGAAAGGAATCCCGGGAGATTTGTTTTCACAGAAAATTAATCGAGTACAAATAATCATAATTCGCTGATATCTCCCGGAATATCTTCAGTCAGAGTTTGTGACCCTAATTCCAGCGTGGGAAGAGCAAACAAAATACAACTCGGCTCATGACCCCTATGGCGGATGAGCATTCAGCCAGCAGTGGCGTGAGCAGGAAAGCAATTGTGGAGCAGGGGGGGGGGCTACGGGGGACGGGGGGGGGGGCTGAGTCCCTCCACCCCTCCACCATCCCCCCCCCCCCCACAAAACTGACAGATCAGGCTGCCCCTTTAACAAATGGTGTCGGGCAGTGGTTCTTCTGAACCTGTGGTGCACCCTGCACCCCCTGGGGGTGCGAGATGCCCTTTCTGGGGGGTGCGAGACGCGACGCAGGGCCAGACTAAGGGGCCGTCCATAAATGACGTCACGCGATTTCGGACGATTTTTGACCCCCCCCCCCCCCCCTCGTCACACGGCGTTACAAAAAGTCAGACCCCCACTCTAATATGACGTCACAAAGCTCTGCCCCCCCAAACCCCCGAAAAATATAAAACATGCTTCAAATCGCTTTAAACTATTGTCATTGTAATGCGTATTTAATGTGCCGCTGCACTCTGATGTTGTAGGAGAAAACATTTATTAAAAAGTCTATTTAATTAAGTAGAACGTGTTGTTTATATTAATTTAAAGTTGCGCATTTTGATGTGACGTCATATTTCTCACCCCCCCGCTCCGTCGTCACACATCGTCACAAATGTCTGACCCCCCCCCCCTAGGTGCGTGACGTCATTTATAGACTGCCCCTGATTTGTTTTAGAAGGTAAATCATCGAAAACACCGACGGAAGCACGGGCACGTAAGTTACAACTTACTTAGTTTCATTAAACCCCACGTAGTTATTAACATTCTACATTTTTTTACGATTGAGAAGCAAAGAGGTTTGGCAGGCTGCAGTAAAAGGTTCATCACCGATGCTGTAGGCGAAGCAGAGCATTTTGATTGGATAAAGGCTTAACAAACACGGTACAATGGCAGCTATGGCATCATCACCACAAAGACAAAGATCCACCGTATAGCCTTAGTATACTGCTGGGGCAAGTACTGTTAGCGAGGAGCAACTATGAAGGCCGGCACCGCACGCGACGGGGTGGCAGCATCACGCCCGACCGCCTTTGTCTCCCCAGTCGCGATGTTTACACACCGCACCAGGTACTCATTTGAGGCTGAGTCGAGCTAGTTTTCAGTTTCAGTTTCTTTATTTTGGTATAGCCCTGTGAGCCATTCGGCTCTTGAATCGGGTGCAACCACAACAAACAAAAACACGAACAAGAAAACATCTTAAAGTGATTATGTGACTGTGCAAACAGAATATCCATGAAAAAAACAGTAAAATATTCCCGAAAAAAGCACCGTACACCAACGCTGTGTGCAAAAAATCCCAGTGGAATGCAAGTCAAACAACAACAACCACAAGAAAACTTAGATTAAGGCCATCAGTCTAACTTTGTACTACAATAAAACACACATGTCTAAACCAAAACACGTTTTCGAAATCACCAAAAAATAAAGCCATAATTGCAACGTAACAGTGACCGAATTTTTACAATAAACTACATAAATAACAGCTAGGGGAGGCCCAGGACCGTTTCAGAAAATCGTCACTGGGTGTTGGTGGCCGTAGTGAACGGGAATCAAAAATGAGGTCACCGGGTTCGTAGCGCAGCGTAGCGCTAACCGCTGCACCACCACTCCCACCGCCACCAGCACCACCAGCACCACCACCGCTCCCAGCACCACCAGCACCGCCACCACCAGCACCAGCACCCAACAACACCAGCACCACCGCCCCCAGCACTACCACCACTCCCACCGCCACCAGCACCACCACCACCACCAGCACCACCAGCACCACCAGCACCACCACCAGCACCCAACAACACCAGTACCACCACCGCTCCCAGCACCACCAGCACCACCACCACCAGCACCACCACCGCTCCCAGCACCACCAGCACCACCAGCACCAGGACCACCAGCACCACCAGCACCACCACCAGCACCCCAACAACACCAGCACCACCACCGCCCCCAGCACCACCAGCACCACCAGCACGACATTGCCTGAGACACAGAATGGGTGAGAGAGAAGAGAGAGAGACGCCACAGAGACACGCACGTCGTGTCGTTACTCACTGTGTTTACTTAGCGTTTGACATCTGTTTAAAGTTTGTTTAGCATTGATTGTGTCGTGACCCCCCCCCCATACCACCCATGCCCCCCCCCCTTTAAACAAGGTAACGACACTACATGGTTGTTGATATACACCGTGTGTGTGTATTTGTATCGACATATACAGACACGTCTCGTCGATGCTCACTTACAACGACTTGTCGACAGCGGCTGCACTGCGTTTGCGTCCCATGTGCCCGGCCAGGAAGGGAAGTCGTTCCTTCGCCCCGGCCCCTGCGATCGGCACGGTTGCCTGCGTACGGTGCGAACGAAGTTCAACGCACAGTGCGTTCGCTCAAGTCGGGAGCACGGTTAAGCAGCAACGCCGTAGCGGTCGCCGTGCATTGATACGACCAGTAAAGGGTGGATCGTGTCGTAAAACCCACACCGCTCGCTTACATCGGGGCTGATCACAACTTCACGTGATCAAAGTGGGACGACTCGAGTGAAGCCACCTCAAGGTGGTGCCGACCGACAAGCGAAGCCATGCGTAAATATATAAATGTGTCGTTAAACCCGCCACCACCCGACACAGCCAATGAGTAAGGGTTGTCACGTAAACAGAACGTGGCCAATTCGTCACTGGTACAGCAACACCGGTTGTGTTTTGGAGAGCCAAGCCACAACATTTACAATCTGAGTCCGACGTTTCGTCAGTTATGACAACGAGCTTCAACGCCGTACTCAGGTTGTAAATGTTGTGTCTTGGCTCTCCAACACAAGAACGGTGTTGCTGTCCACGTGACGGATTGGCACGTTCTGTTTACGTGACAAAACCTTGATAAATGGCTGTGCTGTTAATCCATACGAAAGAAAACGATCATCGCGGAAACGCGCATGAAATCCAAGGAGTTGTATCCGGTGATGCTCCTGCTGCGCTGGCAGTGGTGATGCACAGGTAAACCCGACAACCTCGACACGTCGTCTGTAACACTGTGGCCCTCAATAGGGAAATGTATAAGAGGACGACGTTTCGGGCAATGGGGATTCGTCATAGCTGGTCCTGGGCGCATGTACAAACAATAGCGATATGTGTGTTTAAAAACACGTAAAATATATACAGTATATGACAATTACAATATTTACCAACATTTACCGGCAAGGTATCGGTCCATTGCTATTTTGAAAATCCATATTATTGTGTCCAGCCCCCCTGGAAGAATGCCGCCCCACGCCGTGTCAGTCATGGGGGTGGGGGGGGGGGTGGTCATTTGTCCATACTTCACCACCATGGCCAGTGCGGGTAGATGAAGGGAGTGGGTAGGAGTGCGGCCAAAATGAGTTTAGACATCACACCCTGGTCGGGAATTGAACTCGGGTAATAGCGCAGTGCGGTAACCACTCGCCTCTGCTTCGAAAGAGGGCAGTTGCTTGAAACGTTAGCCACGATTGTATTTCGTTGATAACTCATTCGCATTCGTTGTGCAAGCATGTACAATATCATCCTAGAACTAGTAACATCCGTGTTACTGTGAAGGGTTAATGCTATTGCGAGTTAGTCCGTGGACTCAAATGATCCACTTCTGTTGTTGATACCCTCATCCATTGAAATGAATGTGTCAAACCTGTGCTGTACATGTATAATTTTATATATATACAGGGTGGCCCAAAAGTCAGGACACATAGGGTTGTTATATTTACTTTAACGCTGGAATTAAAGCATTTCAATTGTTTATTCTTCAAGTTAACGTCGTATCTATTATCGCAATTAATATGTATTTTCTCCTTCCTTTTCACGTGACATTTAAAAGTGGCAAGAAAATTGTCTGAATTCAGACACCTCCTTCACCAATTACTTGCGGTGATCAGCG